TATTAACCCTTTTTTAAAAAACATAGATCAGACCATCTCCCCCTCCAAAAGAGTTCAATAGTCCTTCCTCTTTATACTAGGAAGAAAACTGAAATTTTTGCTTTAGTCCACAAAACCCCACATACTCATAATACAACTACATTAAATAAATGGGAGTATGTCACACTGGTTCATCCACTTTGTTATCTTTTCTACACCAAGGGTGCTACATACAAACGGTGAGGCATGTACATCTAAAAACTCATTATTAAGGTATTAGGGGAATTGTTGAGATGAGGTAGACATAACATAGGCATTAGTGTGACACAGACTAGGCTTTAATTCCCAGCTTCAATAAAGGCTCACTGAATTCCATTTTCCATTTGCCAGTAGGAAAAATGCAATTTATCTCAGTGTGCTAGAGAGGACTGAATGAGATTATTCATGTGAACACACTGTCACACTGATTTTTACAAATTTTGGTCATGTTCTTCCTGGTCCAAACACTCTTCAGTTTTTAACCTGTCCTCACACAGGTCCTTGATATTAAAATTCCAACTGTTGCAGTAACAAAATACAAGAAAACAAAGTACATTTTCAATGTTTAATGTCTCACACGTAAATTTCTATTTTCCTTTTCTTTTGTTTCTTTAGCTCACTGAACCATTTTCTTCCCCTAGAATTTACATCCTTTATGGAAATCAAATACTCCTCTTGGCCAACCAGACTAGATATAGTTATAAGCTAATATTTTTACTTCAAGAATTGTTTGTTTGTTTGTTTGTTTGTTTTTAAAGTAAAGCCTGGCAGATGCAGTAAGAAGCAAACAGAGTCTTCACTATTGCTCTGGATCCAAGCAAATGCCTTTTAATGACATCAATTTACCTTATGATGCATGGAAACAGGAATATTTCTGCAACACCCCATCTAGGGAGGCTCATTAACTTAGCTCATCCTGAGCTCTTAGTCAAGAAATAACGTAGTCTGGTAGGAAACACTTCAAGTTTGTGAACTTGGTTCTGATTGTTTTAAGACAGAATTCTAGAAAAGCAAAGACAGTCCGCTGTCTTTGGCTTACCCCCATAGAGTTACATGGTCCCATCACTTCATAAGCAGCAGACCTTGAGATAGGATTTAAATGCAAGTAGTTTATTTGGGACAGAATCCTATAACACACCAGGAGGGGATGGAGAATGAGAAAGGGAAACAAAAACAGTCAACAAAAGGCAATATGCTATCGGATGTAACTGGAACTTATTATTACCGCCAGGAGCCAGGCTACCTCAAAGTTATCCCCCTGAGGCATGAAGGAACTGCATATTTACAGACTCCAGTAAATCACTGCCTGATGGCTGTTCTCTGGGGGCAGTAATTCTCTGACACCCTAAGCCAAGTGTACTCAAACCATCACAGAAGCTCACAGGCAAAGAGAAGCAGAAGCTAACAACTGGAAATCTGGCTCATATAAATGTTAATGAGAAGAACCAATGGGCTGTAAGAGGGACATAGAATCTTTCACACAGGTAGTCTAAGTCACCAGACCCTGTGGGGTCCATGAAATTACCCATTTGAATGTTGAGGTCAAGGCTCAGAAAGAGATGGGGACAATATCAAGACTAGGAATATTGATTCACTCATCAAACATTAGTTGATGACTTACTACAGAAGAGAGGACCTAGTCCATAAATAAAACATGTAGAATCCTTACTTTGCTTTCCTGCCCCATGCCCTCCTGCATGCCCCACCCTCAGCAAGCCAGGTTTGTTCACAGGCACATGCATCCTTACAGATACTGGTTGCTAACTTTCTCCACTAAAAAGACTTCTTTTCCTATTAGGCTGACCTCAGTAAACTGTATTCCTGTAAAATTTTATAAAGATCTCTACTATAGCTTATCGAGATGTAATTCACCCTTTCATGTCTGCCTGCCACTACCTGGATCTTGGCTCCAAGGGAGCACAGAGACTCTAAAAACCCAGTGCAGATAAATGTTCAAAAAAACTTTAATTGAACAGAAGGAAAGTACAAGAAAAGAAACAAATCAAATCAGAATAATGGCATTGTAAACAGAATGGTAGAACCTATTTATAGACATGGAAATATGTTCACAGAATATTTCCTTAAATATACACATAAACTAAGAAAAAGTATGGGCAGGTAATATACAACCACATTTTAACACCGAACTTTGTCTTTGGTTTATTAATATTTTCTAATTTTACTTCCATGAAAGCATATAAGCTATATAATTTAAAACTTAGAAAGATCTTTAAGGCTCACTGATGGCCTATCAGGTTCAGACCAGTTATAGCTTTCAGATTTCAAGGCCAGAGAGTGGAGCCAGTGACAGACTCATCAAACAGGATCCAAACACAATAGGACTTGGAAATTGAGGTAGCTCCTAACTCTGATAGGGACCTTCATCTTTGACCTAGTTCTCAGAATGGGACCATGTGGGACTATCTAGGGGCTGGCATATGAGGCTGGGGATATAGTAAATAAAAGGTCAGATGGGGCCAAGGCGGGGTTGGTGATGAGAGTATCCACTGCTTCCTGAGCCCTAGTGTCCTGGCTTCGTCCTCAGCCCCTGCTTTCCAAACTGAGTTATTGATTGTCTATAGAGCATCAAAGCAACAAGCCTTGGGAGATGAAATAACCAACATCTGAGGGATCCATTTCTCTTTATCTTAAAATCCTAGAACAAGTTAGATTTTTTTAGTGATCACCTTCTTCCAACTCCTCATTTTATAGATGGGAGCATCAAACATCAAACAGGACCGTTTTCAATAGGAAGTCACTATTTCAATAAACATGCCAGCTCGGATAGACTAGGGGTAGCTACTAGAAGTGCTATTTGAGGATTCTGAGGTCAAAGTCAGACTCAGTTATAGAAGATTTGTGGTTGCTTAGTAATGTCTGCCATGGCAATGGCTAAGAGATGGCCCACATGCCATTTTCTCCTTAAACCCTTTGCAGCAGCAGGATGATCTGGCAATCATGGCAGAAGGCACTCATTGAAGGAAAGTGACATGGCACCAAAGGTAAGTTTTCTAATTTTGTAATATAAGAAAACCTATATGTTGAAAGATGAAATGACTTTGTCTAAATTAACTACAATGATAAGCAATAGATGACAGATTCAAATACCAATCTGTCTGACCCCAAACCCATGTTCTTGACCCCTATGCTATAGGTTCTTCATTGGTTGTCCTTGTCCACCACCCACTCATGCTACCCACTCCGCTCTAACAGCACTCCTAAGACAGCCTCAAGATTCATCTGCTTCTGATTTCAATACCCAGAGGTGTTTGTCTCAGACACAAAAACATGATGTCCCAAGTCAATCTTCTCTTTCAGGTCCAAAGTTTGCCATTTTCTGAACCTTTACCACTGAATCTTTTTTACATGTCATTTGGCTCCAGCTCTTCCTTTCAACTTGCTTGATTTATTCAAATGTGGGAGAATGACTCACAAGCTACATGAAGACAAACCCAGCTGTGTGCCAGAGATAATTATTTCAGAGTAATTAAAATGATCTGTGGGCTGCCAAATTATACACCAAAATGTGATTCCACACTTTCTCCCTTATCTGCCTTGTTCTTCCTCTGTCTGTCAAAAGAAACTGCTTGCTAGGGTAGGGGCTCCTCAGCCCTAATACACTAATCATTGCTGCTCAGCAGCCTTATTAGACGGTCATCTTCACAGGGAGACTTCACAGCTTCAGAGAAAAACTCTGGTCTAAAATCAGGGAACCCCAAAATGATCACTTATGCCACTTGCTGGAGGTGAGCTCCCCAGAAAGGCATCCCAGGCATCTAGAACCAACCAGAACATCACACAGCAATAGGAGCGGTGGGGAATAAGGAAGGAGACAGAAGAGATGGGGAGGAAGGAAGGAGCTGGGTCTCAGTAGAGCTTCTCCTCCCTAATCCTCTGTACCCACTGCATACCTCCTGTTTTAGCCCCTCAATATCACTGTATCAAGTTCCCCTCCAACCTAGGTCAGGTCCCCTCAAGTAGAGACTCAGAAGGAGATTCTGTACACATGTTTTATTGTAAGAGCGCTCTCAGGAAAACCTACAGGGGCATGAGGGAGTTTGGGTAGGGTAAGGGAAAAGCTAGGCAAAAATATACTTTCAGGAAAGATCTCAGTCTGGTCCCATAAATTGTATCACAGAATTTGAGCTATTCAAAGGAACAGTGTGAGGGCTGTGATATGCCTTCATCAGTGAGTCACTGCTCAGGGCCACTCCTGTGAGTGAGTGATGAGGGGGAGGTTGGGGGGTGGAAAGGCATGCACCTCCTGGCTTAGCACTCACAGCAGCCAACAACCTGAGCAAAGAAGTCAAGTATGAGCCATTTGAAGCCAACACCCATAACACCTGGGAGAGGGGTGTCCTGGTGAGATAAGGGACTTCTAGGTGGGGCACTCACAGCACCTGCTCCACTCTCTTATAGTATTTCACGGTGTTGGAGAGAATGTTCAACCTGCCAATGATATTAAATTGGCAGTCCTGAAATGGGTTTATGGTCCCGAAAATACTGACTTCAGGGATTATATAATCCCAGGGAAATTGTTTGCAAAATGTCCATATACATGAAATTGACAGGGCACAAAGAACATAGGTCTCATCATATTCTCTGTAGTGTATATGAACTCCTGGGTTCTGAAGTTCACCTGTGAATTTCCTGAGAGGAGACTGTATCGCTAATTCAGCCTCTTCCATGAAGCCTCCCTGATTCTTCCCTTTTCATCTGGTGCTTACCTCAGAGGCATAGTTGGGGACCTGGGAAGGGGACAAGGCTACTACTTTACATCTTCCTAAGATAGTAACTGTTCATTTGAAAATAGGGAGGATAATAATTAAATCTAAAGTTTACTGAACACTTACTATGTGTCAGTTATTTTTCTATATCCATTACTCATTTAGTTTTCAATACTATTCCTCTGAGTAGGAACTATCATCTTATTTTCTCATATCAAAGATTGTAACGCTGAGAAATTAAGTCACTTGCCCCACCTCTCAGAGTTAGGAAGTAGTGGAGTCAGAATTCAGATCCAGGCAGTCTGACTCCAGAACAGCAAGGATGTCGGAGGGAGCTATGCAAAATATGTGGCTGAACCATCACATTCTAAACCCTGAAATAGGAAAGAAGTTACATGAAGTCAGAGGCTTCTTAACGCTCTGGTCTCCCCATTAACAATGGCCAAGTCTCCTAAGACACAGTAAGTACTCCAGAAGCACTGGTTATATAAGTGAATAAATATCTATATATTAACATGCCTTCATATGTATATATGAAGCTATATGTACATGTGTACATATAATATGTATGTTAAAATTATAATATTCTATAAGTGAATAAATATTTAACTATTTAAGTTAAATGAGATAAAGTGAATGTCAAAAGGTCTTCCTCAGTTCCTAGATTTCATATGTCCTCAAGTAGTGGTCATTTCCTTTCTATAAAAGTGAGAATGTTCTTTTTGTCCTTTGTTGTGCCAGGCCCATCAAAGAGTCTCAGAAAATACTGCTACGTACCATAGTTAATCAAGTGAACCAAACGGGTATCAGAAAGGGGAAGAAGACATATGGAAAATGAGAGAGAAGGGGGGTAGTGAAGAGAGAAAGAAGAAATCCAAGTAAAAACAGTAGGGAGGGGCCCCTGGGTGGCTCAGTGGGTTAAGCAACCAACTCTTGACATCGGCTCAGGTCATCATCTCAGGGTTGTAAGATAGAACCTGGTGTGGGGCTCTGTGTTGAACATGGAGCCTGCTTAAGATCCTCTCTCCCTGTCTCCCTCTGCTCCCCTGCCCCACAAAATAAAAACAGAGAGAGAGGGGAGAAGGGAAGAAAAAGCCAAGCTTCTACTACTAGCAGTGTACCCAGTACATTCAGTCGGCGGGAAGCAGCTGACTCGGCTGCAATTAGATTTGAAAGAGACCAACGGAGGTTACAACTGTAATTGGATTTTCCAACGCAACTCCAGATCTGAAAGGGAAAATGCTCTCCAGAACTGCAAAGACACTGAATGAGAATGCGTTTCTTGCCCTTCTATAAGCCCCTCTCCCCAACCCCCTGCATTTCCACCACTCCGCTCTCCACAGTACTTCTCCTCCCCTGGTTTTCAGCATCCTTTAGCACCACAGCACCACCTACCGTCCCCGACGCAGACAGGGAGAGCGCGTGCTGGTTAGGAGCAGAAGGAGAGTTTAACATCACCAGCAAGCACTGAAGAGGGAGGACACCATTCATCAGTCCTGTGACAAGCCCCGGCTGAGGCCAAACTGCCACTCAGCATTTCAAGTGGTAGGCTCTCTCCCCTCCCCTCTTCAGGGCCAAGCCCCTCCTCCACCTAAAGCGTTTTCTCACAAAAATAAATGGATAAGTCACATGGAAGGAAAGTCTCCCAGGAAATTGAACATGGGCTAGCCACAGAGTTTCTTATACTTGCACTAGGATGACTTGTGGCTAAAAGGAAAAACTGCTTGGTAGAGCTAATTACTCTAGGAAGTGACCCAGCAGGCTGACGTGCTCCTCCATCTCTAAGAGCACACAGACAAAAGACCACCACTGTGGAAAGACTGCATTTGGCTGTAATCATACCCATCATTACAAGATGAGTTATCCGGATGCACGGTGTCAATCCCTCTGCATTTACCCTGGCTAGGGTCATTCTCTTTGCAGGTAGCTGCCCACTTACACCTTCAAAATACATGCCTACCATCACATCCACCTGGGACCTACAGGTCAGCCATGAAAATGGTGATTATGCCTGGTATTTTCCTTTTCTGCTTAGCTCAAACTCAGTTTTTCCATTCTGCGGTGTGATGTTGGTCTGGGAGTCTGCAAATGTTTCTTAGGTGCCCTTGCTGACGACCTACAGTTAGGCTCTGCGGTGGAGGGACTGGAGAATTGCCGGTGACTCCCTCCAATATTCAGCTCATACTGACCTTATTCCAACAACATCAGATAGCTCCTGTGTCTTTGAGAATTCAGGGCAGCAGACCCACAATATTCCCACTCTGGGACCCCCCAAGGGGGCTGAGTACCAGATACACGGCAAGCACCAAGTCTGAGTACCAAGCCCTAAGCACCATGCCACTCACTCCCCCTAATGCACCTAGCTCTTGGTAGCATTACTTTTCCCCTAGAATGGTGACCACTTCGTGCAGCTACCACTTCGTGATACTTAGATGTCCCCTTCTTCTTTCATTCTTCCACCACCACCAAACCAACCCCCTGGGTTGTCACCTCTCAGTCTGAGACACCTGGAATGCTTTGGGTCTCCTGATTGATACAGTACAGGCTTCACCATGACAGCCAAGGAGATGAAAAGGCAAGATGGTTTTTGAAGACCAAGAACTGGTTTATGACTCCTACCCATTCTTTCACTAGATCTTAAAAGTTCTCACCACAAGAAAAAATTGTTTCTACAGGAGGTAATGGATGTTAACTACACAGTATGATGGTCATTTTGCAATATACACATACATCAAATCAGTATGTTGCACACCTTCAACTAATTCAATGTTATATGTCAATTATATCTCCATAAAACTGGGGGGAAGAGTGCTCGGTATTGGTTTCATTATTTTTTAACCACCATCAACAAGTGTCCTAATGAGGGAGTGATTGAGAAAGAAAATTCCATATTCTGGGTTGATTCAAGAAAGCACCAACCTAACACTGTGAATTCCTGGAATGATAGCAGAGAGATGAAATTCCAACCAAAAGAAGTCTCAGCCATGAGATCTATCATGAGTCAGACAAGAACACGACCGATAATAATGCTACATGTCGTCACTGCCCAATATATGCGACATGCTTTGCATGGACAACCTTGAAAGATAGATATTACAGTCTCCACTCTGCTGATAAGGAAACGTATCTCAAGAAGTTTAAAGGGAAGGGAAAGATGTTCACGAAGTTAAAAAAAAAAAAAAAAAAAAAAAAAAACTTGTCCCAAATCCTAGCAGTAAGCAGTACCTTGACCTTAGTCTGGCTGAGTGGTTTCAGAATCCATGATCTACACCAATAAGCTCTTTCAACTAAAAGAGTCAGAAAGGCCTCTAGAAAGACCAACAAGGTCCCAAGCTAAGGAAGGAGCACTTTGTCCGGAAACAAACACAGAATATGCTTTGAACATATATTTTTTGTGTATCTCAGAACACATACGCTTTGAACATACATTTTTTTGTATATCTCAGAAACAAACACAGAATATTCTTTGAACATATATTTTTTGTATATCTCAGAACCTTCAGGTATGAAGGGGTCATATGCGCAAGGCTACGGTGGCATCTCAGCAAACATCAAAGAGCTTAGGTATTATAGACTCACACCTCAGGTCCTCTCTCATTTTTCAGCTCTGAAGAATTCTAATAGAAGAAAACTCAGTAGGAAATGTGGCCCCCATAAGACTCTCCCCACCAAGCACTCAACAGCCTATTTTAACTGACCCCCAATCACCAACTTCAGCACTAAAAGCAGATGCTATGTCCTATGCACAGAGAAAACTGCAGCCTGGTGTCACCTGTATGAGAAAGCATGTTGTAACGAGCCCAGGGCAATCATGGGCTACGTGTGTGCATATTAGAGATTCATTCTGAGTGTTCAACTGAACAAAGTAATTGGCCATTGTTAATAAAATAAGCAAGCACTTCCTGTATCATAATTGTCTCAGCTAAGGCTCAGTTCACTAGAACCCATCAGCCTCAGTCTCATAATGAAACTAAAAAGTCGGGGGCACCTGTGTGGCTCAGTTGGTTAAGCGTCTGCCTTCGGCTCAGGCCATAATCCCAGGGTCCTGGGATCAAGCCCCATTTCAGGCTCCCTCTAAGTGGGGAGCCTACTTCTCCCCATCTGGCTGCCTCTCTCCATCTGGCTGCCTTTCTCTCTCTCTCTCTCTCTCTCTCTCTCTCTCTCTTTCTCTCTGTGTCAAATAAATAAATAAATAAAAATCTTTAAAAGGAAAAGAAAAAAGTCAGAGAGGCCTCTGGAATAACAGAACAGCTGGAAACAGGTCCCACAGAACTTGGGCTGTACCATAAATCCTGTCATGGCAATACAGGGAAGTGAAGGGGGGATTTACCAGACAGTCTAAGTACATCTTGATTACCTGCCTACATTGGCTTTTAAGGGACTATTTTACGAAAACTTCATCATGAAATCACTGTGAAGGAGGCCTCCCACCCACAACCCCCTTTCACTCTCCCATCAACTTAGTGGAAGAGACTTTAACGGCCCCCCAAGGAGCACAGGCCAACAAGAGAGAAGCAGCGTAATCCTGAATGCATTATAAAAGGTGGCCCCCAACCAGAAAACTGAAAAGGACTTTTATGTTACACCATTAATGTGACTAACCCTAACAGGCCATGTAACCCCGACAGAGAAATTCCCAGCCCTTAATCCTTCTCCTCAGGTACCTTTCTGAAAGTCGCAATAGGAACATAAACGAAATAGCAGAGCGGGTCTAGAAGAATCCTTCTGGAGGTCCCCCTGGGTGAGCATGTTGGGTCAGAAGCAGTGACCACAGCTTGGTCGTAGAACGGGCGAGCACTTTGGAAGCACGCCGAGCTAGAGCCTTTCAATTAAATAATGTGACACTTTGAAAGCATGCTGAGGAGAAACATGTCTCACTTGACCTGTCAGTCACTCCCTTTTATTAATAACAGAGTGTTTGTGCTTTGACTGCTGTCCTCCCGAGAATCAGAAGGAACGCTGACATGATTTGGTAGCATTTCAAGGTCAGCAACATCTCAACAGTGGGTCACAAACATTAAAAAAAGAAAAAAAAAAAAAAACCATAATGCATACTCCCACGGACTGGCAGCAAGAGCCAAGGAACAAGAAAGAAAATAGCACTCAGGTGACATCATACCTGTGCAACCAAGCCCCAGTGTGCAATACTGGCGTGCACCACTAGGGGTGGCACCTGAGGTGAAAGGTGACATGAGAATGAAGTTCCCATCGTTTTCACTAAGTATTTTTGTAGCTGTTGTCATAAGGGTGATGCTGCCGCTCTGACAGATGAGCTTGAGAAAGCAGGAGCCTGAGCCTAACAGAAGTTCACATCTTGCCCAGGTAAAGTCTGTGGAGGGCAGTCCGGATTGTTGGCCTTTTCTC